TTGTCAACTAAGTAAATTCATTCACATTTCTCCACTAAGTAAATCCAATTCAAATTCAGTAATTTTTTTAATATACGTATAATAATGATGAACTGGGGAGTTGGGGGGGGGGGGGGTTATTTGGTTGTTTAAAAACACGAATTTATAACATAGGGCTCCACGAAAATGGGTTTTAAATTTTGTTTGTTTTTGTTGGTTCTTTTCATTTACTGGTTGGGGGTTGGGGGGTGGGGGGGTTAATTGCGTGTTTGAACACACGAATTTATAACATAGGGCTCCACGAAAATGGGTATTCAATTGTGTTTGTTTTTGCTGGTTACTTTCAGTTACTGGTCCATCTTGTTCACCGACCTGGAACATCTTCACACCAAGAAATAAAAAAAAACGTTATTTCAACAGACGAGCCTCTTTAACACCAAGTAGTTTCGACCGAATCGATCGCCACTGATAGACATGTGCGGAAATTTAATGGAAACTGAAATCATGTGATCTTTGTTGTTGTTGGTTTTTGTTTTTTTGTTTTTTGTTTTTAGTTTATGGGGTATGAAAAAAAATAAACTGCCGACTTGAAGCATATGCTTTTGTCATTTTGTGAAGATTTGTGTTCGTTCGTTACTTTAAAAACGAAAGGGTCGTTATTTGTTTATCTCCTATTTAATTGTATGTAAGTCGGACAAGAAAACCCGGAAACTTTTTAATTGCGAACATAGATTAATATTTGGTGAACATTTAATAAACATTAAATTATAAATTAATAAGAAGAACGAGATAAAAATAAGACACACATGAGAGTTATTTGGTATAGTGTTTTACAATTTTTGGATATCAAATGCAGAATTTGATTTAAAAAAGGAACCAAAAGCAAAAGAATACACTTAAATTTAAATCAAAATGGTAAAATCAAATATTTAAGAATTCCAATCAACCAAGAAACCCAAAACGAACAGAAATTATAATCCAAAAAATCTCTTATCTAGTCAGGCACACTCAAGTTATACGAGAAAAACTTAACCTAGACCAAATAAAAAAAAAACCCAGAAACAATCAAACCAACCACATACACACACTAACAACATAAGAAACACGCAAACCAACCCAGAAAAACTCAAACCAAACAAGACGAAACCAAACCAACACAGAAACACACAAAACAACCCCAGAGTAACTCAAACCAATTCTAGACACACTCAAACCAACTGAAGACACACGCAAACCAAACCTAGAAAAACTCAAACCAACCCAGAAACACCCAAATAAACCTCAGAGACAATCAAATCAAACACTGAAACCAACCTCAGACACACTAAAACAAAACCCAGACACACTCAAACCAAAATCAGTTACATTCAAACAAACAACAGACACACTCAAATCAACCCCAGACACACTAAAACAAACCCCAGGCACACTCAAACCAAAATCGGTTACATTCAAACAACCTCAGACACACTCAAACCAAACCCAGAAACACTGAAACTAAACGCAGCCACACTCAAACCAAACACAGACACACTCAAATCAACATCAATGACACACTAAAACACCCAGACACACTCAAACTAAACTATGGCACACTCAAACCAAACCCAGAAGCACTGAAACTAAACGCAGACACACTCAAATGAACCTTAAACACACAAACCAATACCAGACACAATCACAGCAATCCGAGACACACTCGAACTATTTTCAAACACACTAAAAACAATCCCAGACACACTCAAAAAAACCTCAGGCACAGACAAAGCAAAAAAGATACATAAAAAAAAAACAACCAGATGCACTAAAACCAAAATCAGTTACATTCAAACAAACAACAGACACACTCAAATAAAAATCTTAGACACACTCAAACCAACCCAGACAAACACAAACCAAACCCAGAGACGCCAAAATCAACACGGGAAACACTCTAACCAACCTCTGACACACTCAAACAACCCAAGACACATTCAAATCAAACCCACTGACACTCAGGACAACACAAGACACACTCAAATCAACCACAGACACAATTAAAATTACCTCACACACACTCAAACCACACCCAGAAACACTCAAAGCAAACTCAGTAAGAGTTAAACCAGAAACAGACACATTCAAATCAACCACAGACACACTCAAACCAAATTCAGACATACATAAAGCAAGGCAAGAAACAGTCAAACCAAATGTAGACACACTCAAACCAACTCCAGATACCTCAATCCAACTCCAGACACATTCAAACCAAAACAATAAACACTCAATACAACACCAGACACACTGAAACAAACAACAGATACACCGAAATTAAACACAGAAACACTCACACCAAAACCAGACACACTGAAACAAACAACAGATACACCGAAATTAAACACAGAAACACTCAAACCAAAACCAGACACACTCAAACAAAAACCAGACACAATCAAAACAATCCTAGACACACTCAAACAACTTCCAGTCAAACTCAAAGCAGCCCCAGACACAATCAAACTTAACAGAGACACACTTAAACCAAAAACAGAACTACTCAAATTAACCTCAGTTACATCCAAATCAACAAAAGACACTCTCAAATAAAACCAGACACACTCAAAACAATGCCAGACACACTCAAACTAACCCCAGACACAAACTAATCTACACCAGACACAATTAAACCAACCCTATACTTTATCAAACCAAAACCAGATACACTCAAACTAAACTCACACACACTCAAACTAACCTCACACACACTCACACAAAAACCAGACATACTCAAACCAACTCCACACACACTCAAAAAAATTAAAGATACACTCAAACCAACTACACACACACTCAAACAAATGCAAGACACACTCAAAGCAATACCAGACAAACTCAAACCAACCACAGACACATTACAAACAAATTCCAGACACACTAAAAAAAACAGAAACACTCAAGCCAACCTCAGTCACATCCAAATCAACAATAGACACACTCAAATCAACTCCAGACTTACTCAAAAAAAAACAACCCAGACACACTTAAACCAACCTAAGACACACTCAAACCAACCCCAGACACACTCAAATCAGTTCCAAACCCACTGAATCCAACCCCAGACACACTCAAACCAACCGCAGACACACTCAAACAAACCTCAGACACACTCAAACTAAAACAAAATCACCCAATCCAAACATTTCACTTATTTTCCTGGTTCCGAATGTGATTAATTTTTTTTTTTTACCAGCTGCTCACCATAAAAAAATTCGCAGTTGACAATGAATATTTTACAGCCGAGAGGGTTATCGAGAGCCCAGGTTTAACAATGGAATCATAGCAACGTTGTCTTAGAAGTGGGATGTATTTGGTAGCGGACTGCTTTAGCCCGTTGTACTCTTTTTCTCTGTCTCTGGATCCCTTTTTCTCTGTCTATGGATCCCTTTTTCTCTGTCTATGGATCCCTTTTTCTCTGTCTATGGATCCCTTTTTCTCTGTCTATGGATCCCTTTTTCTCTGTCTATGGATCCCTTTTTCTCTGTCTATGGATCCCTTATTCTCCGATCTCAGTGAAAATGCTGCAAAAATATTTAAAATCCTAGTTTTGACGGAACAGAACAGCTGACCACTGACCACTCATTATTTTTGTTTGGTCCCGGCTTACTGAAATGATCTCGGCCCACAGAAATGACCTTGGTCAACTGACATGACTTCGGTCATCTGAAATGTCCTCGGTCTTCACTTTGATTCTTTTCATTCCATAAAGATCTCCAGTAATATTCAGGAGATCAGCATGAAAACAATAGGATTTTTTTTTCTTCAAAAATTAACAAAGTACAAGTATATTGTCATTTTTCAGAAAAAAAAATATAAATAATGTAGAGGCCCCACTTTGCCCCACTTAATTTGTATGCGCCTAGCTGCCCCCTTAAAAGTGGACGCCCATGGATCTTCAAAGATGTCTGTCATCTTAAAAAAAAAAAAAAAAACTTTTTATTTGTGAGTTCCTGGTTCTTAATACTGCAGGACAACTAAAATCAAGGAAGCCATTACCAATTTTTTAAAAGAATTTAAAGCAGGCGTGTACAACTAAAAAAATATAAATAATGTAGAGGCCCCACTTTGCACCCCTTAATTTGTATGCGCCTAGCTGCCCCCTTAAAAGTGGAAGCCCATGGATCTTCAAAGATGTCTTTCATCTTAAAAAAAAAAAAAAAAACTTTTTATTTGTGAGTTCCTGGTTCTTAATACTGCAGGACAACTAAAATCAAGGAAGCCATTACCAATTTTTTAAAAGAATTTAAAGCAGGCGTGTACAACATACGGCCCGGGGACCACATTCGGCCCGCCAGCACCCACATTTATAAGTTGTTATTTCTCTTTCTACCTATTTATCTATCATTTATATAAATATATATATAGGTAGAAAGTTAGATGATAGATGGGTATATCATATATATATATATATTTATTTATATATATATATATATATATATATTCATATATGTATATACACATATATACACACACCCAGATAAACTTGCTTTTATGGTGTAGATTAAGTTTGGGTGACAACACTATAGACACATTTGCGTCTATTGCCTCAGGCCTTCCAAACCCTAGGTCCTGATACCCTCACAAAGTAGCCCTTGCAACCAGTGAAATATCCTCATCAACACCAGTCACAGAAACATAGCTAATCCCCTCTACATGCATAGGAGCCAAAATGATCAATAAATTGATCGTGGGCCCTTCATACATAGAAGAAGAAGAAGCACACATTGTTTTCGTTTCATTACTCTACTTCAAACAGTTATCGCAGCCCGGCCCTCCCTCTCATAATTCTATAGTATAGTAGTTACTATCCTAGTGTCTCATTTTTTATTTTACTTAGTTTACATGTTTTTAATAATTGTAAAGCGCTTAGAGCTTTAAGGTAAGCGCTATATAAAAAATGCCTAAATAAATAAATAAATA